TTTAAATATGAAAAAATGCATTTTTCAAATCATGTATTACATGTATGTATAAAAGTTTTTGTGTTTAGAAATGAATTCTGAGTATCTCTAAATACAAATTATTTCATTCACATGATCCTTCAAAACAGCTGTCTATATTCCTTGATACTGATTTTTTCCTTGAAGCTTCTCATTGAAAGTTCCTTTAGTCTGAATTCTTTCAAAACTTTGTGGCTATGTACTTACATGTCTGCCACCAGTCAGTGATGAAATAATCACTAATTCAGTAAAACTGAACATCAGAAATTGATACCAAGCAACACTTTTCCTGTAAAAGTACTCTAATTTTTACTTTCGCTATATATATTTGACCTAATTACCCCTCTTGGTAAATTCTGATAAAATGTCAAGAGTTTGGACAAATCTACAGATTCACGATGGCTCAAACACACCTTACTGAATTCAACTTTAAGCATAAATTTTAAAATACTCATTTGTACTTCTTTCAGAATATATTTCTCTTGCTGATCTCCACCCCCACATGACAAGTCAAAACCAAGTTTTACCACAACTACTTTACAAAAGAAGTATTTAACCAGCTTACAACATATCTGAACTTTTTCAACTTTATAATAAGAACCTCTGTTACTGCAGAAAATATTGACAGCTGAACTTACTAGCAAATGTAGCAAGATCCAAAACTCAGATCTCTCCTATTCATGTCCCTAAATCAATGAGAATATTGCTGAAGTTACGAGACTACTGGATGTGACTAGCAGTGTTGTACATAATCATATGAAAATTATATGAATCAAAAAGTATTGCACACCTTTCTTACACCTACATATTGTAAAATAGTGATACATTTCTTTGAGAGATCACACCATAGTTCAGACACTGTATATCTTAAAATAAATATGAAACGCGATTATAACATTTCAAAATTTCCTTCAAGCATATTCAAACATAAAAACGTATATAACAAGTTTACCTACAAAACCTAAACTACCTGTAATGGTGAAAGAGCTTGTAGATCAACATTTTTTCTACATGGAGAATTGCAATGTACATGTTACATACCAATATAGTATTGCAATAAAATCTACACTATTACTTAAACAATTATTTATATCCATATATACATAAAATGACGATATGAAACAGTGAATAAGGCCTAACATATATCACTGTACTCTCATTTAATATATCATCAACTGTTGATAAAAAGCATCTTTGCATCATTGCTTAATAAATAAATACATTTACATCTATTACAAATTTTGCAAAATACCAATGTCTCCCCCCTCCCCCCAATCAGACATAATATTAAAAATTTACACAAACATCTTGTACTCTACACTTCCTGGCACAATCACACATTTGTTCAAGCTTATCAAACGCATATCATTTTCATATCGACAAAAAAAATCAATCTGAAATGCACCAACTTTCAACCAAAGGGCTTTCCTTATGTTATTATCAAAGAGTCCTGGAAATATGCCAGTAGGAAGAGTGATGCAATGCCAAGGAAGATTCCCACATTCTGGAGGAAGAGGATGCACACTGCAGACTTCCAGCTACCCTCGGCTGCCTTCCCTGCAACTTCATTCATCTCAGGCACCTGCAGGAAAAAGAAGTTTCTGTGAATGTATTCTGGCAGCTACCTGGGTGCTTTCAGTGAAATTTTGAAAATGCAGGAAAAACTTTGTAAATCACAATTAAGTAGCTCAATATCTTCAATGGCCAAAGGGTTAATTCATCTATAAATATGCTGCAAATAAAATGTAAGTTCTAATACAATGTCATTTTACAAAAAATAAGTATTTACATAAAAATATGATGACAAACAATATAACAGCTCACTTTTAAATACACTTCTAGTAATACATATACAAAAAAAAGGTACACAGATAAACATGTCTATGGTCACCACACAACTTACCATATCTACAAGGGCAATGTACAAAAACATGCCAGCAGCTAAGGCAAATATAGCCGTTGAATTCTGGGTAAATTCCCCTAGGACTATTCCCAGAATGAGACCCAAATAACAGGTCGTTGCTGAAAGGAAGTTATATGCTACTGCTTGCCTCATGGTCATACCCGCATTCAGGAGGACTGCAAAGTCACCTGTTGAAAGATTGTTTACGGTCAGATAAGAATCCAGAAGTAATTTAACATACAAGATACAAAGACATCAGCCATATGAACAAATCTTCACAAACAAACAGATATATGTGTACATTTCCTACCCAAATGAAATAGAATACTGTGAAGGTTCAAACAAAAATGGGTTTATCATATTAATAATAGTCACGAGATCTTATGAGGGGTATAAATTTACTGGGTAATGATGACCTGTTTTGGACTTACTTAGGAACTGAAACCACATGATATAAACAATATGATAACAAGGTTCAAGAAAATCTACACAGCAAAAGAAAAATTCAGAAAACGCACCTAGTTCATGTGGCAATTCTTCGCACATCACAGCTAAGCTTATTGATATGCCAGTCAATATGGACTCTGAGAATGCAGCTCCAATGGACACTCCATCAATAAAGTTATGGAACCCATCCCCAAATATGATCATCCAAGCCACAGTCTTAATAACCGAGTCCTTCCCTTGTCGGAACTCTAGATTGTGATTGTGGCCTTGTGTGTTGGGACGCTGTGGGAAAAAAAAAAAGAATATGTGAAAAAGAGAACATGGAAATATATTATTTTAAAAATGCTTTAAGTTGAAAGGTTCATAGTAGCTACCAATTCATAAAAATACATCTATGTGTAGAGTCAAATGAAGCTGAAGACTGCTAGGAAATCAGTGCATTTCTTAAACCACATTTTAAGAAGAGTAGTTCTCTCTTTATATCATTTAATACCCTACATGACAGTAATCTATTTCAGCACACTTGTCATTCCAACCATAAATAACAAAAAGTAGAAGAAAAAGGGAAAATGATATATAAATAAAGCAGATGTAGAAAAGAGAAAAGTTTTACACTACAAACCTCTTTATGACCAAAGGAAGCCTTTATAGCCTGCTCCTGAGACGCATAAATGAGCTCAACATCTCTTGAACTACAAACGTTTGATGCAGTTACAGCATCTGCGCTCTCAAAGCTCTCAGATTTCACTGGTCCAGTGGGCTTGTGGTTCTTCAAGTCTCCGTTCTTCACGTTGTTACTCTGAAGTTCACATCCTCCATTTTCACACAGGATGACTTGATCTGATGCTGAGATTGGAAACTTGTTTTGTTCCTCCTGTAAAGCGTTGATGATAATAGAAATTATTGTTTTGATTGGTAAGGCATTTTTGTGAATTAAAAATACATAAAAAAAGAAAAAAGGAAAGGGTAAATAAAATAAATAAATGAAATCATCAAGAAGTTCCATCATGCATTCTAATACATAAGATCCTTTCAGAAACCTGAATATCTCCACAAAAACTTTTCACCCCTACCTTTAAAGCTTGGTGCGTGACTGTTATCTTAATGATACGTTCGACCATGAAAAATCCCCAGATGCCTAACAAGACAAAGAGTGATATGAAGAGGTAGCTGTGGTGTCCATCATCTCTGGCATTTATCTCGAAGGCCTGGAAAAAAGGGAAAATCTTATCATAGTTACGGCTAGTGAAATACGAAGTATATTCTCTCTTGATATTTTCCATCAATACAGTCATAGATAAATTACTTCAAGGAAAATAGGAGACACAAGGTCACTTAGTTGATAGTCTTATACAGGCATCACCTTTAAAGGATAATCATTTTCTGACATCTGATATGATAGAAAAAAATCCCTAAAGAAAACAATTCTCAATAAATCAAAGTTCATCAAATCTGACTAAACTGCCTATAATAAACATTCTTCACAATCAAGTGACAGACTTCTACACTTTCAATTTCTATTCAAACATCAGACCTGCAGGTAAAATGAGGCATCTAGAGGTAGTGCAGCAATCTTATCAAAACAATATCTTTAGTAAGTTTAACTTTTTATTTTCAGATATCATGTACCTCTTCATTTATCATACTTATGCTGCCCACCCGGATTCAAATGTCAAAATGATTCATCTTGTGCCGGTCAAAAAAAGTCATCATTACCATCATCATCATCCCTCTAACTCATATGCTCATGAACACCAATCATACAGAGAACACTTTTGGAATTAGTCAGCTTGTAATGCGAAGTTGTTCTTCACAACTCGTGGCCAGAGCTTTACACCCAATTCCATCAACTGACCCTGCAGTGGAAATCTAAAATAATGGCAAACTACCAACAAATTATAATAAAACATGCCAAGAGAGGATACCAGCTTTATGTGTGGTATACATCAATGATTGTAAGTCTTGAAGCAAATCTTGAAGCAAGTGGAAGTACACGGAATAAGCTGTTTAACACCAAGAAGAAAAGGAGGAGGAAGAGAAGGAGAAGAAGAGAGGAGCGAGGGGGAGTGAAAAGAAAGGAGTGGGGAGCAAAGAGGGAAAATGGAAAATGGAGGATGAGGAGGATGGGAAGGGGGAGAAGGATAAAGAGGATGAGGATGAGGAGGAGGAGGGAAGAGGATGAAGAGGAGGAGGGGGAAGAAACTAAAGAGGAGGAGGAGGATGAAGAGGAGGATGAGGAGGAGGAGGAGGAGGAGGAGGGGAAGGAGGGGAAGGAAGAGGAAGAAGAGGAGGAGGAGGAGGAGGAGGAGGAGGAGGAGGAGGAGGAGGGAGAGGGAGGATGGTGATGATGATAATGAAGATGATGGTGATGATGATAATGATGAAGAGGAAGAGGAGAAGGAGAATAAGGAGGAGGAAGAGGAGGAAGAGGCAGAAGAGAGGTAAGAAGAGGAGAAGGAGGAGAAGAAGGAGAAGAAGGAGGAGGAGGAGGAGGAGGAGAGATAGGAGGGCAACCACGAAGGAGGAGGGAGGAGGAAGAAGGAAGAGAGGTGAAAAGGTGAAGGGGGAGGAAAACAAAAGAAAAAGGATCAAAACAGAAACAGAAGAGGAAGAACTGGAAAAAAACAAATTT